GGTTCAGAACAACTGGCAAGTGACAGCCAGATCTGTAGGAAGCATAAAGGATGTTCAGGAGTTCAGAAGAATCATAGAAGAGATGGACAGACGGCAAGAAAAGAGATATTTAATCGACTGTGAAGTAGACAGAATCAACACCATTTTGGAACAGGTATAAATGCTTTTCAGAAATTGTGATCTTTCTGTGACAGTCATTGTTGATGTTTCCTGAATTATCTGTTTCTAGAAAATAATGAAATATCCATTGAGAGATTCGAGTTCCAACAACTGGCCAGTTACCTAGTAAAAATATCTCAGTGATGCTCATAGTTGGTGGCAGCACTTACATGTAACCTACCAGGAAATGTCTCTGTGATATTTTTTCCCAAATCTTAATAATGAATTATTTTTTAAGTAGGTTAGGAACCTAAAACTTCAGCTGCCAGAGTAGTGGTACTGGCATCAGAGGTACTTGTAGGAATTGCAAGACAGGTGCAGTTTGTTAAGTGGACATGAAACAGGAAATAAAAAGCCAGTGAAGTAGTTTTGAATCATATTAAAGAATTCCCAAATGGAAATATAGCTAATGAAATATTCAGCTGGTAGTCCAATAGGCACATTAGCACTTTTTAGTACATAAAGCCCTTCCCTCTGCACAGCCAGGACTGCTGACAGGCTTAAATTGTGGGTGATAGAGTCTAAACACCTTTACTGGGGAAGATGCATTTCTGGGTGATTGTTTTGCTGTTGCGTGGCAATTCACTTCCATTAATCCTGGAAAACCCTGTAATTAATTGCAACTTCATAAATTTAACTTGTGGTTTTATAGGATGGGATAGATCAAAACTAACATTTAAATTTCATGAAGCATTAGTGTATTTCTTAGAAATGTTGTATTGTAAACTAGTAGGAAGCTGACCTCACTGCCATAAACCCTGGGAGGTGCAAAAGCTGTGTTCCTTCTCAAAATACTTGGTTCCTATCAAGCCTTGAGGTTTAATTTCATTGAAGATACTCATATGCAAAAATAGTGCTCATGGACAAACGCTGGCCCACAGAGGGCCAGTATAGGTTGCTCCAGCCCAGTTGCCTTTCCATCCCTCTCCCTTTTTGACCTCCTCAGGGGCACATCTTCAAAGGTCAACCATCTCATCACGTTTTAGGATACCTCCTTCCAGATAGAGAGTTTACTTCAGTCACTGTGGGGATGTGTGGCACCTGCCATTTCATTTTCTCAGGGGCAACAGGAGCATTTGCCAGTGACCATGGATTTTAGAAGCTTAAATATGACTTAATCAAGAACAAAAGTCATAGCAGAAATAAAGACTGTAAACCACTAACTAGACAGTCCACACACGTGAGTTTGCTATCAGACTTTTGGGCTCTTGGCCAGGCCATTTGGCAAGCTTGTCAGTTCTCTGCTCCTGAAACCACATAGCATGTTGGTACTTGGATTAAATAAGAGTGATCTCCCTTGTATCAGGCTGGTCGGTGTGTGTAGTTCTGTCCCTGGTATGTAAATGTAAGGAGGGAAAAGAAGATGCCTCAGCTCCTACTCTACCTGGGTAACCTGGTTTGTGCCAGGTTTCACCCTGCAGCACATCTGGTTTCATTCCCCTTTGAAATAATCTTCTGGGGGCTCCCATATTGTGTCCTAGAGGTGGGTACCCTGCCCAAATCACCTCTGGCCCTGTCTCTTCAGTTGCAGAGTAAGGAGAAGCAGAGAGATTAATTGTCATTCCATAAGTTGCCATCTGTTTGTTCACTTGCCCTCTAGGTCTATAACCATGGAGCATGCGGATTCATATCCCTCCTTCCACAACAAAACTATTTCCAATTTAACCATCTAGTGGCCTCTCAAACTTACAGATAGCAACACTTAATGTCATGCAAAATTCATAAGCTCCCCACACATCCCTTGATGCTAAAATATTCCAGTATTCCTTCACAAATAGACACAATATTTTGTTCTTATAAACAGAAGAACATTTTCTTCTGAGAACTAACAGTAAGCTTTAGCCTGTTCAGCCATGTATTTAGAGATATGTTTTTGAGTTAAGAAATAAGTTTTTCTTATTCTCAAGATAACAAGTTGTATTTCAAACTAGAGTGGCTTCATGTCCATTTAGAAGAAAATCTCCTGAGGGAAAATAAGGAGGAAGAAACTCCATTCAGAATCAAAATGGTGAAACTTTACAAAAGACCTATTTATTCCAGAGACTGCATGTTTTTGTCAAAAGAACACTATCTCCAAACATTAGTCATAAAGGTTAGGCTCCAAGGCAATCTCTGTATTGAGCAGAGGCATCTGACAAAGCAGAAGCAATATTACATATCGAATGCAGTCCCCAAAATTTTACAATGGCAGTCAAACTGTCAAAGAAGACTTTAAGTAAAACATCCATGGGATTAAGAAGGCTAATCTGATTGACTGAACTCTGTCCAGTGCAAGCACGGACTATGACTTGACATTTGATTCTGAAATTTTGAGATTAGGAAGATGGTTTTTAGGTTCTCAGTGAAGCCACCTCTGCAGAAATACTCAGATCTCAGAGGTGTGTGCTTGCTGCACAACAGCTTTCACATTTTGGGTGTCATAAGATTAAATACAAAACTGCAGTATTTGATTGGCCAGTAGTCATTAAAAAAACAAACAAACAAACAAAAACCTAGGAAAAATCTAAGTGAAAAAATCAGTGCTGCCTTCATGGGAGCTCACTGGTTTATGTGTTACATTATGAACAGTCTGGTGTGGGTTTGTCCATGTTCTCTGTAGCAATTAAAAGTATAATAACTGCCGATAACCACAGTTGGACACTTGAAGCAGGAGCAGAGCTCTGGGTGGCTTCAGCATCTGCTTTGCTGATGCACTCTGGTGATGCCCTGTCCTCTGAAAGCCTGTGGGCCACTGCCTGCCCAGGGCTTGGTGCCTCTGCCATGACACAGCCCTACCTCAGCCTCTGCTGGAGCAGTGGTGAGGGCTCAGCTGAGACTCTAATGGTGTCTCATCTGTACAGTGTTGTGTAATGTCACACAGAAACTGGTACAGTTCATTTTTGCATTCAAATTAACTAGAAACTTAACATTTAGGACACTTCTTCATTAGATGCCCATAGGTGGTGTTGAAACCAGGATCTGAAGCAGAGTGAAATGTCACTTCTTTCCCTTCCCATCCAGACAGTTTCAGTAGCTCACAGGTCCATATGGACGTGTGGGGAGGAAAGGGGAATTACTTCTGTCAAGTCACCCTCAGGATCCCAACTAGCAGAAGGTAAGTAAAAAATGGCCATATGTCAAAAGCCACAGCAGGACCTTATGGGGCCTGCTCCTGTCAGCTGTAAAACTAAAAAATGGCCAGAGATTAACTGCTGAATCAGAGAGAAGTAACATCTTGGGTTAATCTGCCCCACCTATTGCACATTTTGCACCTACCTGAGAAGAGAATTTCTAGCTTGTAAGTATTTGAGTCTCTTCAAAGCTGTCCTCTAGACTTCATAAAGCAAGACAGGTTCCAAATGACAGGAATTGAAGAGTATTAGTCATCCTGCAGAATGACTGAGGTAATGGCACACAGAGCTTAAAAGTGCTCCAAAGACATTAAAGCACAGTTTTAAATGTATCTGATCAGTAATAATAATAATTAATTCAAAATGTCTCACCATGAATGTGCAGGCTGCTGTGTGCAGGAGGTGGCTGCCAAGCAACTCTGGTTTCTCCTGCCAGAGGCATATGAACCTGAAGTCACCATTAGACTTTTTATTTTTCTGTGATGATAGCAATTACTCATTTTATGTTTTCTGATAATTCCTGGGATATAAATGCACACAGCAGTGCACACACATGCATCTGCTTTTTATCTTTTTACCACAACATTTGCACTATGCTTTTATGCAGTTACAGGCCTGTTTATGTGGCAACCTCTGCATTGCCATGAAGTGTACCAAAATCCTCTCAGTTATACTACTGCTAGTGTGGAGTCAATCATTATCCTGAACATTGTACAATATTTAAATTTATATCGTTGTGCTTATCAAGAGATTGTATTTGCTTTGAAATTCAGTTAATAGGTAGTTGTAAAAGCACAGTTTGCTGCATAGTTTTCTTTTCCTTGCAGCTTTTCAGAGCACAGAGTTAGTGCCTGGGTGTTTACCCTTAGAAAGCCTTATGAGGGTCTCACTCATTATTTAGCCTGTGTCCACATCATATGAGCTGCTTCTGCAGCTGGCACAAATTGTTACCTGTGTTGACAGTCTCAGCAGAAAAGTTGAGCCTCAGGCCATCAGCAATAACCTCTCACTCCCCAGTATGCACTGATGCTTCTCATGCCATACCTGGACTGTGAGGAGAGGATCGGGTCTTCCGTTAGCTGTGCTGGTGTTTTTCAAAAACAACATTCACAAAAAGTATTTTAAAGATATAGAGTATTTGAGGGAAAGGGAGAGCTGGCTGGAATTTTCTCAATGTGTGGTCTCCTGAATTTTTTGTCCCACTGCTTTTGTCTATCTCCCCATCCCTAACAGCTCTGGGAATATTTTTCACCTCTTCTAAGCCCCTGACTGATTTTAAAGTCTGTCTCTCACACATCTCCCCCAGGTTTTAAAAATTAGTGTTGTATAGCAGTCGCTTTGTTACAGTCCTAGCATTTAATGTGGTTCTTTCTTCTCCATATAAAGGATAAACCCTTTCATCTTCACAGACATTACCTTAATTTCTGCATCTGTCTCTCAAATAGTTTATTGCTTGAAACTCTGCTTCTAACCAAAGGCTTTCCTTAATTAGTTTCCAAGGCAACCATCTTGGCCACAGTTCAAATGAACCAACTGCAGGGAGAGGAAGGAAACACACTATCAAAATGAATAGTAATAGCACAATACAACAGTGCAAACAGGCATTGTACATCACCAGAGACAGTGTGATAGTTCTGGTGTCTCGTAAGTTCATTAACAAGCAAAGAAGAAGTCCTAACTCAGTAAAAGAAAAACCACAATAGAGCATGTGTCTTATTTTTTCACAGCTGACTTAGTCAGGATTAATGGCTTTGGTGTGATACGAATCATGTTTCTGGTGGAGGAGGAGAACCAGTGGTGCCTTCCAGGGCCTCTTGTGCACCAAGATGTTCTCAAGTGCATTTTGTAGAGCACTGCTGCACTGCAGATCACTTAGCAAGATTTT